AATTTCTTGGCCAAACTTACACCTTCAATACCGAATCTCCAACAATACGATACCACTACAATACTCGAATCAAATCGCGAACTAGATACTGTATTAATGCTCCGAGTATCACGTCAATAACATTGAAATTCAACAGTACACACAGGCTATTGCATTCATACTCGATAATGCAAACGCACAATGGGAGTCGCGTGTGTTCGCCGTGCATGCTCGCGAGAAAGCCAACTTCTCAAACTTGAAAAATCGATGCTACACCCAGAGAAGCATCGGACGGTCGGCTTCTTTCAAGACGCAATAAATCACGAACCAGCCGCTGAATCTGGCCGCGAGAGAGAGAGAGAGAAAGAATACACGTATGTAGCTCCTGCCTGGACTCACTTTAGTAGGATTCGACAAAGGGAGAAAAGAGAGGGCGATCGACGCGTATACGGCGCCGCCGCTTCGTGACACTTTATGTTGCGCCTACTTTGCCCCTGGCCGCGCACGGCACGCAGTTGTTCCATCGTACGACCGCGCTTGCGTTCTCGTAGAATCTCGATTCGCAATTCGCTTGAAAGAAACGTCGCGTCGTAATTGGATTTGCGATCAATTCGGCGTGAAAAGCGCTTTATTGGCGCGTAGCTTCGTTAAAGCAGCGACGAGAGAGAAAACAGGACGAGAGAAAAGCCGAGCAAACGAACGCGCGACGGGGTATGTGTCGCGATGAGTGCCAAGTGAAAAACACGTGGGGAGGTAGAGAGAGAGAGAGAGAGAGAGAGTGCGTGAAACGATAAGAAATAAAAGATAGAGAGAGAGAGAGAGAGGTAGAGAGAGACAGAGAGAGAGCGAATCGATAAGAAATAAAAGAGAGAGAGAGAGAGAGAGAGAGAGAGAGAGTGAGAGAGGGACGTCAGCGCTGAAAACTTCTTTATCGACGCGCTTGCGCGCGAAAGGAAGAGAGCGAGTAGAGACGGAGCAGGAGAGCTGCTCGGGTTGGCGTTCAATTGCGCCCTGTGACTTTTCCAGATAAAGTTTTTCGCGCTCTCACCAGCAGCGGTTCTGCGACAAATCATTCGATAAGAACGGTCAACACCGCCGTCCTCGCACCAACCAAGTTCACTTGTTTTCTCCTTCTTCGCCTTTCCTCGTTCTCATGTATGTGTGTGTGCGTGTATGTGTGTGTGCGTGTGTGTGTGTGTGCGTGTATATACGGACACACCCTAGGGCTTTGGCCTTAAATTGATTCGATCGGTTTTACTCCTCCATTATAAATACAAACACTACGATTTGGAATGTTTTCTCAATTTGACGGTTATCGAGCTTTTCGCCTTCTTGCTCTTTCGAGGCGGTGCTTTTCCAGACGTCGTTCAAATTTGACTAGTCGCGTACTCGCCAGCCTAACTTTCGTATTTTTCAAAACGGTTTGCGAGCTTGGAAACAGACAGAGTGTGGTTATTAGGAATTTACGCCGGTTGAAAAATTACTGTTGTGGATATTAAAGCTACAGGGAGCTCTAGCAATTCACGCATTGCAAAATTCTTTGCAGTTATTTTTTTATTTGCAGAGACGGAAATGGAAATAATGTTGATTTATGTTTCAATGTCATTCTTTTGCGAATGAATGCTTCTATTTTCGACATTATTTCAAACTTCAAAAATAAGAGTAGATATTTCAAATGTATTATGACATTTAACTTCCTTTTTTCAGTTAACAACGTCATCAATTTGGTATAATTTCATCTCGAACAGTAAATCGTTTTTTCGTTGAAGACCATATTTGATACGGCTGCAATCTAAAAATGAATCGATTCGAAAAATTAGAGGTCTGGTTTTCAGGCTCACAGCCACCATTACCTGTGGGTAGTAAAGCAATAATTCGAATTCACATCAAGTTGATGGCTGATCTCTCGGGAGATTACGAGGCTTGATAATTTCACGTCATTGAATAATCGACATATAGAATTGCTGTGTGTATTAACATGCGCGAAATTGCGCCTTGATCAGGGTTCACGGTTAGCTGATCAAAAGAGAGAGAGAGAGAGAGAGAGTACAACCTCCTATCGCGTTCCCATGGCAACTTTCTTTCTCTCTCTTAGCCAAAAACTTTAACCTTAGCTTCCGCGCACAGCCAGACACACACCTGATACGCATGGAAAATTGCCCTCTGAGCTTTTCTCATTGTGGGGTGCGTTATTGCTTATTTCTCTTTCTGCTTTCACCGATCGGATGATCTTTGTTTTTTCAAGCGAAATAATAGTTTGTAATTGCGACGAAAGGCATCGATACGTACGCGCGCGCGCATGTGTGTGTGTGATTTTTGGGGTAGGAGCAATACTGCCAATGCAGAGGAGGTTTTTGACTAGGGATTAAAAGATTTTTTTCTTACCCTTAAGGGAAGTGTATTATATTTTTTCTTCCACCGTGGATGTTCAAACAATACTGCAGCTTTCAAAATCAACTATAAGCTGTTTAGATGAAAAGATTTATTATTTTTTATTTGATAATAACTGATCTTTGTCAATTCCAATAGATAATATAAACAAATTTAATTTTTATGAGAAGTTCTGCGGCTATTTCCAAAAGAAAAACATTACTTAGCATATACAAAACTTTACCAACAGTTCATCTGAAATCTTTACGAAGCAGTTGGCTTTAATTCTTTTCCTCCTTTTTAATGTTTTTTTACGTTGAGAATTGTAATTTTCTAATTAAATTTTTAATTAAAGCCCTAACTCATTCTCTTGGCTTGCTTCGTCGGTGGTTTTAATACTGACGTCGACTGAATACTTTGTCATTGTAGATTTAAAAATACGCTTTTCTGAACTATATTGCTTCCAAAGACATATCTTTTTTATCACCTGGCTTTCCGAGAATAGAAGAATTTGATCACAGAATTTGAAAAAATTCCGGAGCTTGAAGTTTAACAGGACACCGATCCATGCAAAATACATAGGGAACGTGTACCAGAAAATAATAAAATATGAGAAAATTATTTAAAGCATAATACTATTTTCACCAATACACACTTTTTATAATCCGTTACTCATCGCCTATAACGTTAGATTTTCATTTAATTTGCCTAAAACACAAAAGCTCGTTCATGGTAAAAGTGCAATGCGAATCCCAAGAAAGGAATCAAGATCGGTACTTGAGGTGCACGAGTCAGCGCGTAAAAATTCAATTTTCATTGGGCTAAAACAAAGCGCGCTCACGATGCAATTTCGCACGTGCGAATAAAGTTTGCAAGGAGCGGAGGCGCAGCAGAAGAGAAGCCGCCACGGATTTTCAGGCGTGTTACTCGCGCGCGTGCAGCTCGGCCCAATCGCGAATCTGTTATATAGCGCTGGTTACGCGCCTGCGCCAATTGATCCTGCTTCCGAATTACCAAGCGTAGCTGTACTTTATCGCGGGCAACTGCCGACTTGGTTTTCTCATCGAACAATTGCTGTTCGAGAATAAATATCGTACTATGCGACAACAATCGGTTTTATGATCTGTTGTTTTATCTACTAATTATCGCAACTCTGTTCGCATTTCCAATCAAGCTGGTGTTTGGCACGCAATGAGAAACGTGTGTGTCAAACAATTACATTACTATTGCAATCAAATTTTATTCGATGCAAATAAAGCTTCCTGAAAATTCAACATATCTCTCGTCATTGCCCATTAATGTTGCAATTTTAATGGCAAATATGCAAGTATTACCGCTATTAGGCATTATTTGGACGTATCCAATCGAATACCGATAAAATAAAATATTTTAAATGTCAAACTGATACATATAAAACCTTCTCAAAGCATCAGCAAAGAAGGAAGGAAAAAAAACGACATCGGTGAAATCCATAGTATTTCGAGGTCGACGCTTTTCCGCGAGCCGCGCACACTGAATAAAAGCTAGCTCGCGCAGATGGGTATTGAGCTGTCGCGTCCGCTTGGCTTGACGTATTATTTTTAGCCGGGGCGTTCATGAAAAATGCAAAGCTCGAGGAAAGCAGAAGAGAGAGAGAGAGAGAGAGAGAGAGAGAGAGCAAGGGAGGAGAACTGGCAAATTTAATTACGGGTGATATACGGCCGATCGATCGACACATACTACGATAAATAAATTGGCTCGACAATTTTCGCCTTTTGTCGAGAGAGGCGTTCTGTCCTTTCTTTTATTTTTATTGCTATTATTTTTCTTTCGCTCTCACGTCTACTTTCTCCTTTCGTTCATACTCGGTATCTCTTCTTTTGTTTGCGACTCGATTAATATGTTTGATTCTGAAAAAGAAACTTATTTGCGTCTCACGGGTGGTGAAATGTAAACGTAACAAGCCAGCTTCAAAGCCCACATTGTCGATCGTTTTGATTCGAGCTTCGCAAAAAGTTGGATAATAAGATTAAATATTTCTTCGATTTATGGCATAATCAGCTTATTAAAAGTTGAAATAATTTGTAGGTCGATAAGATCTCGCAGCTCGCAATTCTCTTTCACTCCGTGTAATATTCTGTAGCTTAGTTTAGTTCGTGAATATTCACGTTTATTTGTGCTTCAACTTTTCGTTGCATGTACGAGTACATGGTTTATCGTAAAAAAAAATCATTGAAAGTCAGTGTCCATACAGCCAGTTAGTTTTCAAACTTGAATTTCATCGTTTTATAACTTGACAATAATTGTAGTTTAAATCTGTTTTTCATGAGTCAGTTTTTTTCTCGTAAATCGATGGAATATTTATCGTCATTAACGTAAATATACTGATTAATGAAATAAGACCATTTTCGTAACGTTCTATATCCTCTATAACACGGAATCCTGAGATAAATTTTGTGACGTTCGAGCGTTTTTCGAATATCAGCAGTGTATTCTCGATATAGCCGAAATATCATAAGATTAATGGGATCGTTTGTCAGCTACATGCCGCTTTCACTCAACTTTTTTTTACATCCCGTAAAATTTACACTGCCACAAAGTCTTCAATCGCACAAACCCGAACATCTGCAAGAATATGTAACCGAGACACTTTATGTGCATGTGTACGATAGGATCCAGAGGAGGAGAACAACTGCGAGTAGGAGGCCTTGTGATCAACAAGACACTTGTTGCTCTTGGCAAGCGGAAAGAAGGCCGCACTATGGCTCCTGGGACCCATCTGCGTATCGAGTAGCCCGGTAAAAAGAGAGTCGAGCAGGACGATCGAAGTCTGGAATCACGAGGCATAGTCAACGAGAAAGAAAAATGCCAGTGTCGTCGGGTGATCCCGAGTCGCGAGGCTAAAGTCATGCGGGACGAGTCTCGAGTCGCGAGCTCGAGGCGACGGAGGAGAGTCCTCTTCTTCTATCGCCAGAACTGCTGCTGGTAAATAGAGTTCGGCGCGAAGAGAAACGCAGCTGCAAGGAGCACAGCTAAGAGGCAAAGCCAGAGAAGACGAGTGCGATTCCGAAGCGAAAACTAGAAGAGACATGAGAGACGCGGGACTACGGTGACGTCGGCACGCCCCCGGGAGCTGCGCCACGTCGGACAACGAGACGACGACGCTGCCGCTGATGCTCTAGGCGGCACCATTTGCATCGCTAGAGGTACTTTTTTTCATTCCTGCATCTCTGCGTTCAATTAGCCGCGACTACGCGACTTCGCGCGCACAATTAAAAAACGAAAGAAACAGCAAAGGAATACAAACGGAAACGGCTCGTTCTGGCGGAATCATCGTTCGAATGTTATTACGCAAGTTCGCTTCGTTCGTTCGTTTATTTTACATAATGAAATGCTCGATCGCGACTTCGCATTTATACATACGTACATGCCAGAGACTATACAAATTCAGTGCGAGCTTTTGCTATTGCGTAGCCACGAGCGTTATTACCTGCGATAAAAGCAAATATAGGCGCGCTGAAAAAGCAGATTAAGTGGATAAAGTCGTACATATATTTCGCAACAGTTCGCTGCTCGAATTGAAAAAAAGGAAAAAAAAGAAAAAAAGGAAAAAAGGCGTGGATTTTAAAAATTTCACATTCGGCGTTTGAAATGCCACGCTGCGCTTTTTATTGGCACAGCTTCACGAGCAGAAAGCGCGCGTGCGATTCTTTGAGCCTATTCCCCCTTTTCAGTTTGCGCAAAGTTTTCGTTTGACACCCGCACACAATGACGCTACAAGCTTGGAAATCGAGCGAGCGTGCGCTTTGTCCGACTACTTATGCGCGCTTGTCGTACGCAAAGGCGCAGGTAGCACGCAGCGTGAGCGCGAGCGCGGCCGGGAGGCAACGGTCGGGCGTCGAGCGGCGACAGAGGATGCCTACGGATTGACGGAAGAAAGTGGCCTTGCCGTGGGTTCGCAGGGGGCGCAGAGGAAGCAGGTAAGACTGGATCACCTGCGTGGAATGTCGTCCGGCGCCAAGCGGCTGGTGCAGTCGCTTCGTGGCCGTAGCGGCGGTGGCGGTGGCGGCGGGTCGAGTCGCAGCGGCTCCACGAGATCCGAGTCGCACGACGGCGGCGCTGGTGGGGCTGCTGCGAGCACGAGTGCGACGCGTCTGTTTCATTACGACAGCGGCCACGAGCTCGACGAAATCTCGGTTATCGCTCGTGGCGCCGACGACATCACCACGCCCACCACGCCCTACCATCACTACGGACCGGCCCAAGTGTCCGTGGCCGTGGCTGGCGGCGGGCAGCTCAGGTACGGCAGTGGGCAGACCCTGTACAGCATCGCCGGCTCGGTGCCACCCGCTCCGGCCGCACCGCTCAGCAGGGTCACGCCAGCTGGTGAGCTCTCTTCCCTTCTTCTTATTTCTTTACTGTGACGGACGCGCCAAACGCGACGCCGAGCGAGGGCTTCGCCCGCTCGGCCGCGCTGCATATATCTCAACTCCGGAGAGACTTCCGCCAGTGTGCGCCAATGAAAGACGCGCAAACTAAAACATTCGTAAGCCACGCGTCCTTGCCCCGTTCGCACCCTCGGCCCTTGGTCGGATAACAACGAGCAAAGTGAAAGGCAGCGACGCTCGTAAAAGAGCCTCGGACAATGAGATTCTGGAGAGAGGGAGCCGCCACTGCCGCCACTGCCGCCACCTCCAGGATTTCATATTCCTTTCTTCGCAAAGCAGTCTGCCACACGAGCACTTTCCTCTCTCTCTCTCTCTCTCTCTCTCTCTCTCTCTAGAAGATAAGAGGGAGTATGAATATACTAGCCTCCCCGCCTTTTCTTTATTTATTACGCGGCGTAAAGTTCCGATACGGAATATGCCTCGTCCCCGAGGCACTTTACACGAGAACGAGGGTTGTTGCTTCGACACGCGTACATTGCCCATGATTTACCTGGGTCGCCGGCATATCTCGGATAAGAGGGCGAGAGCGTGCGCGCCGCGCGAGCGAGGCTGCGTTCTCGATGACGCTCGCGACAATTGATTGGCCCAAGAGCGGCAACGGGCAAACGCAACTCTCGCCGGCTCCGCTCGGGCTTTCGCGGGACGATCGAGGTCTGGATTCTCGCGATAGCCACGCTGCAACTGTAAACAGTCGGCGGCGATGCCGCGACGCAAGCAGGTAGGTGGCAAATCTCCGCGCGGTTCGTGAACATTCAGCGTGGAAGAGCCACGGCGGCGCGAAGGGCGGAATCGATCCGTTTTGAAAAGGTCGTCCGCCTCGTCTTTCGATTGACGCGCGGGCAAGGTACGCTCTTTTTTTTCCGGCTCTCGCTCGCCGCACATACGCGAGGCGCCGCGCTGGCTCGCTGAAGAATAGATTTAATAAAACGAAACGGATGAGAGGCACTCGGGATTAAATATGACGCGCGCGAGAAAGGAGGGCGCGACGCTTAAATGGAAATAGAAGCGCCGGGCTGGAGGGCTGGAGGAACGCCAAAGGCACGTGTGCGCGCTTTATTCTGCGGCTGATTTCTTTTGTTTTACGCCGAAAGCACCCCGGGAGATATTATTATTATTATCATTATTATTATTATCATCATCATCATCATCATCATTATCATCATCATCATCATCATCATCATGATTATTATTATTATTATTATGTCTATTATCGACATCAACCATCTTTACCAGAGACTTCTTTTGCAGCCGAGAGGTTTGGATCTACTTTCACATGGATTTACAGTAAAAATATCTGATTTATTTTATAGAAATTGAGCTGCATTAATTTCAAAATTCTATCATTCATACTACAAGACACATACGTATATTACATATATGCCGATGATAATAACATTATTCGTTAAAATTATCAGACAATCATTACCATTAATGTTATCGGATTAATTGTCGATAAGTCGCTCACAAACGTTATTATTAATTAACGCATTCCATTATTTCCATATATGCTTGCAGGCTGACGGAAAAAATAATAAAAATATGTAATTCTATACGAAAGGGCGAAAAAAATAACCATCGCTATCCTATCTCTATGCGCGACCTCAATCCTGCTCTCTATACATCCATCTAAAATAAGTAATCCGCACATCAAGAAAAAGGCCTCGTATGAGCATGAAGCGAATTTCCACGGTGAAATCGGAGTGAACGATGAATAATATCGAAAAGATAAAATAAAAAGAATATTAGCCGAATAACGAGCTGACAGAATAACATAGCATTGAGCTCTCCTCCGTCGATATAACATCCTGGAATATAGACTAAGTTGAAAACATTATTCATGTTTCCAACTTACTTGTCACCTGCGACCGCTTATTGAAACTGCGCGGCTAATCGCTCTTAGACAAAACAAAATCATTCAGCAATCTTCTCACATGTACTTCCTCGCAGGAGGCTTGGTGGAAAATAATAAGCTTGACCAGTGTGAAACTGCTGCGCCGTGCAAGCGTAATAATCGTACCTCGCAGGTACGCGCGAGTCCTTCGCGATTTCGAGGCTCGACAATTAGCGAATGGAGTTGTATGCATAACGTTCTCCTCGGATTTATTCGACAATCCGAAACATCTTTCTCGGTTGGCGCGCACAATTGATTTTTACGTCTGAATTAATCCTGCGATCGTCTCCGGGGAGAGAGAAAAACAACAGATATCCTCAATTTCATTGAGAATCGCGCCGCTGTGCGTTCGTCCCACGAGGTAAAAGAGAAAACAGAACGGTTGATTGATTCGTCTTACGCGAGCGAGCGTATGTGCGAACTTGACGCACAAGTTAATGCTACCAAGAATTTTTTTTTCTTTCTCGGCGAATAAAAAACATTACAATCGGCGCGAGGATTTTTCTAGACCACGCTACGTTTTGACGCGCTCGTGCACTAGTCTCTTGTCCGCCGCTTGCGTCGCTATGCAGTAAGATGCTTTTCGTTTCCTCCTACCCTCCACTGATCAGCCGCTCGGCTATTTTATGTACCTACTGCGCGTTTCCTTGCTTCGCAGTTAAATATTTGGTTCTACTCGTGTGACATTGTAACGCTGATTGCTTTTCTTTTTATTTTTCATTTGCGCTAATTAACGCGGCAAATTCATCTCTTGATGAAAGCATATAGCTCTTTAATTAAGAGTTAAAATTTGCCGTTATCAAGAATATTTTCATTTGAGCGTTCTTGTATTTCCTCAAAGCGAGATTTCTATGGCAGTGGCTCATTCATCCTTCGTTCCATTCATTTTCTCAAATAATTTGTCGTGATAGTTGTGCTCGATTCATTATCTCTTTGAACCAAAGATTAAAAAGAAAAGATTGGCAAAGGCAATTCTTAAACAACAAACTGCATCTCATCGTCGTCGTGCCACTAACGTAATTAAAATACGAGCAACGCAGCGCCTTACTAAATATGCATTCTGCAATTTACAAATCCATTAAGCGAACTTATTCTCCCTCCCTTTCTTATTTTTTTGAACTTAGACACGAACGAAGACGCAAAACGGCATAATGAATTCCTTTTACTAAACGAACTTGCGGAAGTGAAACATTGGAAACCTCTCAAAACAATTGGCACCCATTGGAATTCAAATTGCAGTCTAGCTTGGTGAATATTCTGCGCGAGTAAAAGTTAGCCATTCCCAAGAGTTCATCCCGCGCGCACTTCTACTCTAGGCGTTACGCACACACTCGTATGCCAATTAACAATCACGCGCGCGCGCGCGCGCGCGATTCGTTCAAATCCCAAAAGATCGAGCTACGGCTCGGCAAGAGAGACAGTGCTCTTGAGAAATTTAATTAATTCGCTTTCACACTTTTCGTGTTTAAGTTGCGGGAAGGGAACTTCGATCCTTCTTTTTATTGACTTTATCGGAACAAAGCAAGCATCGTTCAGCGTGTGCTTCTTGATCCTTACTCCCCGCGTTGATGTGGCACACGCCAACCTACAGCCAATTTAATCGAGCCTGATTGCTCGGTAATTACGCCGTTTAAGCTTTTTTCCCCCGCTAACGCAACGCCAATTGCAAGTCGTTCATTGTTGTTTTCTTTCCGCTTTCGTTGCCTCTTTTCGTCGAGGTCACGCGCGAGAGAAAAATTTTCAGTGGAAAGTGCCAATTTTGGTCGTACGTGTCGCGCCAGCGAATCTCGCCTTTTATTTATTTATTTTTTCAAACTCTTAAACTGATCGGTCGTCGCGATTTTCTTTCAGTTTGGAGAAGAATTTTTTATTTTATCAAATCGTAATCTTGGAATACGTAGAACACGACATGATTCATGGCCTTACCGAGAAAATATGCAAACAACGAGCGCTTTATCTTGAAATATATAAGGGTGAAGACTGCGCGTGTGAGCTATTTTTAAAGTTGATGGATTGCATCGATTGGATAAGTCGTTGGTCTGCCCTAAATGCGACGCGTGCTTTTCTTTAATCCTTTGGCGGCCAAGCCTCTCTTCTTGTCTTTGTGTGGGTCGGCCTTTTTTTGCTCTTCGTTATACGAGAAATAACATACGTGTCTGCTGTCTTTCCGATGTTTGTCTTTTTCATTAAAAACGTACAGAAGCACCGAGCAAACTGTTTATATTTGTTGTGTTAGTAAAAGAGGTTGTTTATATCCGTTTGTTTAATTACCTAGATTAGCTTTTTTTCTTTTCTGCGAGGGCAAATACCCTGTCATTTACTTTGCTCGAAATTATTCTCCGGTGCGCGTATTTATCTTCATTGCACGAATGTAAAATAAAAATGCTATTTACATATTCGATTGAGAACGTTGATGCCCGCTCGCGCTCCCCTGTAAAATATTAAACACCCGAACGTGAACGAAATTGCGAGTAACTGCAGTCGTAAATACTTTAGCATTTAATTTTCAGCGCGGAGGCGCGAGCAATTTTTATGTTTATGTGTTTTTATTATTATTTTTTTTTGCTCTGTTGTTAATTTTGCGCGCCGTTCCGCGGCGCAGAATCCCATCAGAGCTCGCAAATTTCAAATGAGATTCGTTGTTCATCCATATTTATCAGCGAGTCGGTCCGCCCGCGAGGCGAGCGCTGAAAAATGGCGGGTCTCGAGCAGTAAAAGTACTAGAGGGCAATTAGTCGAGTTAACGCGTGGCTACAAAGTAAAGGTGACTTCACTTTGTAGCCATGCGTATAACCAAGGAAATTTTTGCGTCGCACGCCTACACGCGTGTGAGCGCAGTACCGCGCCACCGACGGTCGCGGCTGTGGCCGATGGGCTATTGTTCGAGAAAATCACGTCGTCGGCACGACCGTTTTCTAATATTTGCCCACTATATCCTTCGGAAGAGCCATAACGCTGAGAGGCGCGCGGATCGAGTTTTGACAGGGTAGTGGCGTGAATTTGGCGTGCGTTGTCGATACGCGCGGCGCGCGGGACTGACGTTATCT